ATACAGACACACTGACTGGACACTCCAGTACATTAACACTGCACTGAGAGGGTGGAGTGAGTGTGGTAGGTACCAGAGGGGAAGAAGCCATGCTCTTGGAAGAGCTGCATGACGAGGGCGCGGCGCTGGTCCAGGGTGCGACGCAGAGAGGAGTATGGCACCTTGTCGAACTCCAGCTCTCCCAGGATGTCCTCTGAGTCTGTCCCTGGGTGAGACAGATGGCACAGATCAGTACGAACACAGACTGGGAACAGTGTAAGTGTCAGTCTGTGTTCTGTCGACCCGTCCCCCAGGTGTGTCTGCAGTGACCCGTCCCCCAGGTGTGTCTGCAGTGACCCGTCCCCCAGGTGTGTCTGCAGTGACCCGTCCCCCAGGTGTGTCTGCAGTGACCCGTCTGAGGTGTGCACAGTTGCTGTCTCCCAGGTGTGCATAGTTACCTGTCTCAGGTGTGACGTTACCTGGCCGGTCGAAGGTGAAGATGTCGCCCTCGCACTTGGCGGCGCTCTTGGGCGTGTTGGGCTCGGAGCTGCAGCTGGATCTCCGCCGGCTCTTCCTCTTCGGGGACACCGGGTCCTCGGTGGACGAGTCCAGGTCTGCGGGAGAGACGGAGGGTCAGGCGGGTGGCGGGTGGCGGGGCGCGGGGCGCGGCTGGCAGGGCGCCCCCGGAGGCTCACCGGTGGAGTTCTTCCTCTTCTTGCGGTAGCTGCCCAGGATGGCCCGGGGGGAGGTGGCCAGGCTCTGCAGGGTGGGCGAGGGCAGCACCTCCTCGGGCCGGAACTCGGGCAGCTCGGCGAAGCGCTCCTCGAAGTACACCTCGGACAGCACCCTGGGGAGAGGACAGCCGGTCAGCCGGTCAGCCGGTCAGCGCCAGGGCGCGAGGGGGGGACCCCGTCTGGCCCACTTACTTGTCCACAGAGTCGAACGTCTTCTTGAGGGGCGGGGGCCGCACCTTCACCTTCTTGGCTGGGGGGGCGTCCTTCTCTGGCTGAGGGGGGGGCGGCGGGGGGTCGGGCCCCGAGGGGGGGTGCAGGGGGGAGGAGGGCCGGGAGTCCCTCCGGCCGGCCTGCAGAGAGAGGGACCGTGAGGAGGTACAGCCTGACGCAGTGACCAGGACACTCTGTGACCACAGCCTGGACAC